GGGAACGTGTTTGACGAGACGTGTTCTAGTAATGAGGGGAGGGATACATTTTACCGAGCAGTTGCCTACCAACGGTATGAGTGATATACATAGAGAAAATAATTCCTATGGGAGTGATTTATGATGTAGGCTGTTGAGATGAGCTCAGGTGCCATGATATACATACCAAGTTTAAAAAAGACTCGTTCAGGTAATCAAAGTTTGTTGTGAGGATTCACAGACACACAGACAGCAAGGAGATAGCATAGACCTGCTTTAGGAATGTAAGCTAAAATGACTCAAGGGAAGATGTGATTGATTGGCATGGACTGGATTGATTTCTGGGATCAGTGGAGGGCTACAATAAACACAGTTCTACAAAAAGTTTCTAAATTCTGGAGTGGCTGGGAGACTGACAGCTTCTCAACATGGCTTAACTGCATGAAGTTAGTTACTTAGCAATCTATAGCTGAAGGGGGCAGGAGCATTTAGCAAAGGAAGAGAGCGAAATATTATTGTGAAATTATGTGGGATTTAGTGAACACTGTGAGGTCCATTTCTCAAGCAACCTTCTAGCTTCGGAGATAATGGTTGTGAATATGCTCATCAGTAGAGTTTGAAGTATACTAGACAGAATATGAATATTTTAGACAATGAGTTTGTAGGTCTCTTGAGATATAACAGCATAAAGAGAACTGTCACAGCGAAAAAGAAGGGCAAATTCCAACAGTTGAAGCATCCAGAGTAAACAAATGAAAATAGTGGAATCACGTAAGACATGAAACAGGACGCGCCATAGCTCAAGCGGTTAGTCTCTGGCTTTCCACCGCGGCGGGCCGGGTTCGATCCTGGGTCTGGTCAAGTGGGATTTGTGGTGGAAAATGTGGCGCTGTGGCACGTTTTCTCTGAGTACTTCGGTTTCCCCTCCCAATCTTCATTCCACCAATTGTTCCACAATCACCCTCACCTATCATCTGTGGCTGGTACAATAGGCCAGGAGTGGTCGCAGTACAAGGGACTTAGTCCCACCCCACTAGCAATAAAAAAAACTTGAAACAAATGAAAGTGTAGGGAAGATTGTAAGAGAATGTGTGAAAGACAAAGAGAATGTAAGAGCAAAATTATTATACTCTTAAGATTCTTGAGAAAGTTAGCAACCCGACAACTTACTTCTTGAAGGACAAGATCTTGTTGCAACGTTCCAAAATGCTTAATTATCCGAAGAATGAGTCACGTCAGTTATTGGATTCACATGAGGTCAATGGTGTCAGCAGACTGAATTGTGCATACAGCTGAGCAATGTAATGCCTGATCCTAGCTGTTCTGAGGGTGAAGGTTCTTGGTAAATTTTCTGCACTTGTCTTTCCTAAATGCAATTTTAATTCCCATAAACCTGTTGCTGGGCGACGACTGTGAAAGGAGCAGCTATACAAAAACCGTTATCGGGTAACGGCTTGGCAAGAAGGCATGTTTTAACACAAACAGAGGAATGGTGTTTCCTGTGCGGTCCATGCCGAGATGTTATAAGCAAGACAGATAATTTAGAGTCCAATGAGCGTATCGTAGGAGACGACGGAAAGGGATGCCTCAAATCTGAGACAGTAAAATATGGTCGCGAGTCCCGGTGAGGGCCAGTGGCATGTACAAAAGGCAGACCAATCCTCTCGTCAGAGAACGCGACCCACATCAACAAACCCGCAAATGTCTGCTAGTAATAAAAATTTGGTCTTGTGCCCCAGATCGGTGCTTGACAGCAAGACAGACTGGCCGACTGACCGTCGGTCGAAACATAACTTCGACTCCTTGCTTTGACTTTGAGAGTCGCCAGCCGGCAAAAATGTGAGTATGGAAGCAGAGGACATTGTTAGGATCCGTGAGCAGGCAACGAGTGGTGAAATCATAATAAACTGGGGAAACTTTACATGTGCTATTCTTACAATGATCTTTGGAGTGTGTAAGTCAGTGAGACAGTTGTAGTAAATTGTGATTACATACTATTTGTGTAGAATAATTCAAATTACCAATCCAAACTTCGTACAAACTCACTCAGTCACATAACAGTATGAATCTCGCTTAACAAGTTTGAATGCCTGAAACAATCTTTATGTAGCTTGGTTGTATATCATGCCAGCTGAACCCAACTAAACGTTGTAATTCATACATCCGTTCATCAGTAATACCAACACTCCAAACTCTCATATTCTTGAACTAACTACCATAATATTACTATAATTCTTGAACCGATCGTCATGAAATTTGGTATTTACGGTATATGATGCCATCTGAGACCATGTCAAGGATTTACATCGTAAATCCTTCTTATGAGTTACAAACACTACAGCCTATCAAATTGTTCTGTTACATACGTTGCACTTTATAGATAAACTTGAAGGGGAAAGTGTTAGGCAACGTAATCTAGAGACACCTGTCATATGGACATGTGTATTTGAGCACTAAACTCAGTTCGTCATAAAAGTGGTGAAATATCCCGGTAAATTGTTCAGTGTGCGAAGACCAAAAGAATTTTCTGTGTAATTCCTTTGTGAAGTCAGAGGCTGACGAGTCTCAGTACAATGGTCTGACATGTGCGCAATAGTTGCCCGGACCTGAGGGACACGTGATCAAGCCAGATGGGACCCTCATATAAGGCAAGGCACAGGCAAGTTACTGTCAGACTCTGCAATGGCAAAATACGTGGTAAGTGCCAGAAGTTTGAGGAGAGCGTCGGGACGTCACTGGTAAGGTGGGCGCAGCGTCGACCCGGCAGCATAGGGGAATCTAAGTGCAGCAAATGACATAACACTCACACCTCCCCACAAAAAAATATTGTTAACCGAAATCGATTTCTGTTGATCTGTTCTTCATATCATGGCGAACCGAGAAGTTGATCTATGACGTGATGAAATTCGAGAGGAGCCAGGTTCGGACCTCGGTCGAGACACCAACTTAACCCTTTGAGGATTTTCTACGGTTTCCATAAACATTTTCAAAGAAATTCATTGAAGCAGGCAACAACCTCTGTTTTCCATATATTCTCACCTCACTCGTCAGTTAAGGTATTTTCGACACTCTGTACTCTGAGCTACTGAAACCACAGATACAACATTACTATCGTGTACAGTAACTAGTGTGGCAAGCGACAGCGTAGTTGGTTGAACTATGCTACAACACGGAAGGCCGCGGTTCGAGTTCCGATGAGGTGGATTTTTCAATTTACCTAATCAATACAGCGACACTACGGCTCTGTGGTCGATTCAGCCTCTAACAAAAACGAGTCCCCCTCCCCTAAGGCTGACAACCTTATGTCCATTTGTGTTCCCATTTTCTAGAGAAAATGCGGGGACCTCGACATCTTAAAACCATAAGGGCCCTCACGGCCTGTTACAGGGATAGCTTTACCTTCTTTTCACCACTAGCTAGCAGTTGCACAAATCAGAATGCAGTTACAGTTCCCGTATCAGCGCTTGTCTGACTTTGCCGATGAAGAGCAAGGAGAGATGTGAGGCTGCGTTGCTTTTGTGACAGCGGTGACGAACTAGGAGTCATTGAACAAAATGGGCTTTCACTGAACCTCGCTTTCGGATGGAAAGCAAATCTCCTTGGCCAGGAAGCCGGTAATCTTGCCAGAATTTCTGCGTCGAATCTCTTCTGCTTCCCCGCGAGTTCGAGGAATGTACCTCAGAGTAGACAACGTCTAGTTCCATCTACATCCCTTACAATTTATTAATCGATGATAATCCAGTCATTCAACGCTATACAATCTCATTTTCTTACACCGTCCTTACTACTAGAATGAATAAATAAGTTAACAAAGAAATAGATATATACCAGGGAATTACTTCGTTGAAATTCTGGATAAAGTGTGAACATAGAAGTTACGGTTGTTTGATAGGTGACATCGTGTATCTACAGATATATACCTACGTTCTGAAGGATTCTAGTGTTTCTAACTCCAGAGGAATAAAATAAGCTGTGTGATGGAAATTTCATGTGATTTATTGATATTGTGACATGATGCCTGAAAGCCGGAATATGACCATCTGCTAGGCAACGCTTCGCTAATCACATTCCCGTTCCAAAGCGGAATAGACCGTTGCTGGACAACGGCTTGGTAAGCATGCATTCGAGAAGCAAAGGATGAGCAGATCACAAAAAACGAACCGTTTAAATATGTGTTCCCGTTTGCGATCCGCAACAGGTGGAGGCAGGTTCGAATACCTCCACCGTGACCCTGCGAGTCGTAGGAGCCGACGAAAAGGGAAGTCTCAAATCTGAGACAGTAAAATATGGTCGCGAGTGCCTAGGGACTCGGACCCGAGAAAGACTGTGCTGATAAGGTCCAGCAGCAAATACAAAAGGCAGACCCGTCCTCTCGTAAGAGAGGGCGCTTCACAAAAAGAAGACAGTAATAAATATCTGGTCATGAGTCCCAGATGAGGCTCGACACCAAGACTTACCGACTGACTGACTCTGACTAGCAAGAGTCAGCCATGCTAGAGATCAATCCGAGATCCTGAGATCTTGCGAGAGATTCCTCAGACAGGTATGGGTCCTTCCGAAAGATTTCAACCTGCGAATAAACCCAGTCATCAAATCCCGAACCCATTATCATTAGTCACGCCAAAGTGCTTATACGTGAAAGTATGATATGCGGCCAAGGCAATGGTGGTCGGCCCTTTAAAAGGGATTATTTTGTATTGGGAAATTGTGATAAGGTACCCTTACGTTTGATTGCTGTGCGCGGAAAAAGCAAAAGAACTTGTACAAAGTAACAGAAAGAAAGCAGTAAAAATACAGGGAAGGAAGAACGGAATGGAAGGGTGGAATAGATGAAAGATTGTATGTTTATTTATAACTGTATTATGAGTGAGCCCTGCATGGTCAGTTAGAAAAAAATTATCATTAATATACAATTAAAAAATCCCAAATTTTGCTTACAAAATCGTAAACAAGGTACAGTGGGTCACAATTACGTGGGACATATTTTCTTAAAAACGAAGACTGAAATAAGAACACAAAAGTAACATGCAAAATTTAATTTCATTTTTGAAGTGTAACAGACAATTCAAAAGGAGACCTACAACGCCCAAGAAAACACGAGGATTTCCAATGACTGCAGCAGGTAGTGTATAGTCTGTTAGATTTCCGGAGGAACCTCAGTGCTGGATTATTCACTGGGTTGCTCGATAGGTTCCTCGCTAGGTTCCTTGAGAGGTTCCTCGACAGGTTCATCGACGGGTTCCTCGAGAGGTTCCTCGACAGGTTCATCGACGGGTTCCTCGAGAGGTTCCTCGATAGGTTCACTGACGGGTTCCTCGCTGGGATCCTCGCTGAGCTCCTTGACAGGTTCCTCGTTGGGTTTCTCGTTAGGTTCGTTGGCAGGTTCCTCCCTGTCCTCTTCCTCGGGTCTCTCCGGTCTCTCAGGTCTCTCTGGACTCTCTGGTCTGTCAGGTCTCTCCGGTCTCTCTGGTCTCTCTGGGCTGTCAGGTCTGTCAGGTCTGTCAGGTCTGTCAGGTCTCTCCGGTCTCTCGGGTCTCTCGGGCCTCTCGGGCCACTCGGGCCACTCGGGCCACTCGGGCCACTCGGGCCACTCGGGCCACTCGGGCCACTCGGGCCACTCGGGCCACTCGGGCCACTCGGGCCACTCGGGCCACTCGGGCCACTCGGGCCACTCGGGCCACTCGGGCCACTCGGGCCACTCGGGCCACTCGGGCCACTCGGGCCACTCGGGCCACTCGGGCCACTCGGGCCACTCGGGCCACTCGGGCCACTCGGGCCACTCGGGCCACTCGGGCCACTCGGGCCACTCGGGCCACTCGGGCCACTCGGGCCACTCGGGCCACTCGGGCCACTCGGGCCACTCGGGCCACTCGGGCCACTCGGGCCACTCGGGCCACTCGGGCCACTCGGGCCACTCGGGCCACTCGGGCCACTCGGGCCACTCGGGCCACTCGGGCCACTCGGGCCACTCGGGCCACTCGGGCCACTCGGGCCACTCGGGCCACTCGGGCCACTCGGGCCTCTCGGGTCTCGCAGGTTCCTCAGGCTTCTCGGGCTCCTCGGGTCTCGCGGGTTCCTCAGGCCTCTCGACTCTCTCTGCGTCAGAAGGTGGTGACCTTCCCAAGTTGTCCCGCTCTAGTGGCACGGCGAGCGCCACGACAGCGAAGGCTGCGGCAACAAGGAGTATCTGCAACCCAGAAGAAAGTTAGGTACACCATTACTCACATTCCCTGTATATATATTGGCCCAGTGATTGCTCTGTAGTTATTAGATCGTCGGCTCATCAGGACTGAAATAAAAGTAAAAATCTAATTTTTCTCTCAGATGATGACAGACTATACACAGTTTGTTACTGACAGCACAGAACTAGAAGTACAACCACAATGCGCTCTCAGTCAATGTTCGGATATGGGTCTGATTAAGGCCAAAACAAGCCGCACAGTCATCATTAGTTTTCGGAGACTCATTTCTTCCAACAATTTATAGCCCTTGAAGTGAGGTCGGGGGAAGGGAAAGAGAGACTTTATTAGTAAAATCACGGTAGAATCAAACCGGAAGTTCCCCAAGAGCACCAAAATTCCGTCTCCTCTCCCGCCCGGATACATAAATCCAAACACATTAAAAAAATCGTCACAATTGGTTACTATTTCTGGACATGGTCACGAATACCGTCCTTGGTGTCTTAATTCGTAAATCAGTTTAATGGAACCTTGGTATGAAATTTCAGATAACTGTAATAAACTTTCAATATATCATCAATAAGCCTGCAAAATTATTTCTCAGTTAACAATAGACAAAGGAGGATGTGGGGGGGGGGGTTACGCCGTGTATTCCAGTATAATTTCACCAGATTCTGGACGGAATAAACCGTCTCCAACTTCAGAATAGAAAAGTAAGCCAAGCAAGTAGACAGCAACAAACAAGCGCAAAATGTCTGTAAAATATGGCGCCCCCTGGGGTCTCCTACAGTGACCCGCGTTCATATTACCAGTTTCGTCGTGAGGCTGTTCTGCCACTTACCGCGTAACGAACCATGGCGAAGTCCAATGACAATACAGCAGAGTCGTGTCTTATATAGGAACCCGTCTGTTTGAGCAGGTGTCCCTCAATTTACGAGATCCATTTCGGAAGTGGCAAACCGCTGAATTGGGAGCACTGAATCACAAAATTTGATACAGAGGCGTAAAGAAACCGTCTCATCACGTATGTTTGTTTTGCCACCTTAAATGTTTACATCAGCACCTCACCATCTGAACAAACAAATTATTTTCTGTTCATGGGCACTCATTATATATATATATATATAGTCACGTATTAGGGGTTGGCGTGGCGGATAATAATAATATAATAGTGAGTGACTTTGATGATTGGGTTTACTGGCATTTCTTTACGATTGAAATCAATTACAGAAACTTACAATCATTGACTGTATTCGACTGTCTTCATTCCTTGCTGGACCACGAGTCTTTTGTTCTGCGTGACTGACTTGGTTCGGATTTACGAGTCGGCCACTTCTTCAGCTTCCGGTGTCCTCTGGTTAAGACTCCACAGCTGAACACTCAACTATCGAACTGACTTCTGAATTCACTAATTCACGAATGATCTCTCATATAATAATTTCTGGAGGACCGAATGGTGGCCACCACATTGAACAGTTATTTGTCATTCTCCCGTTATCACCGGAATGTTTTCTTAATATTCGTCGCAGCGGAAATGGATACCAGCAAACCGTTGCCTAGCAAATGAACTTCCGCCATTGTCCGTTGCTATTCCGGGTTTTAGGAGGTGTCTATCCGAGCCGTTGCCTAGAAAATGGTAATTTTTATCACATATTCATACATGAGAGTAGGAAATAAATTAAGGGAATACTTTCCCTCATTAGCTTATTAAACAAAATGCATGTGAAGGCGATGCAGCTTTCTGTACTTATGCAAATTTATTTCGGAAGAGCGGGAATGATGTTTTATTCAGAACATATTAACTGGAATGGTATTATTCGGGTTCTTACACCTATGGACATATGATGGTTAGTGTTCTGGAGGTTGTGCCATACTGTCTGGTAAATTATTTATAATATTTTAGGAGACAGAATATATAATTCCTTGAAAATGGAGGAAATTGATACCGTCGAAACTAGATAGCTTCTAACTGATCAGGTTGGTGCAGTACTAAGCAACTGGACCAAGCACAATAGATCATTGAAGGTCGCGGTGCGAGGGCCGGTTTTATGGCTCACCCCTCATACTCAGCCAACTGGACTTCTATTCGGGAGGCGTTCAGTTCGAATTTCGGACGGCATATTTCTAACCTGCCGATCACGGTGACCGCACCCTCTAAGGCATAACTTTCTTCGCCTATCAAAGACTGGAGTCGTGGATTCGAATCCCACTTGAGGCATGGATGTGTGCGTTTATTCTGTCTTCGTGCTGTCCTGTGTATAATCAGAGGCCTTGCGTCTGGCTGATCCCCCGTGCAAAGATTCCTAGCGATTATCTATAGAGAATTACGAAATTTAAGAAGCGTTATGGACCAAACAAAGGGCTGTAGAATCGTAAATGTATGATTGAATGAATGCATATTTGTCACCCTGATTGGGATTCCCCACCGTTCTCCTTACTCGCCTCAAGAAAATTCCGTGATAACTCGAGCAGGCCATGACCGCTTCCCTCAAAATTTATTCTTACATCTAATTCATCTGTGATCTCACTTTTCGGAATTTCACAGAAAACACACTGGCTCAAGAAGCTTACGTTTGGCGCTATCTTTGTTAACAGAACCGTGAACCATTAGTACTTAGTGGCGTGCAGGTTGCCCAACTTGTCCACTGCGAGGGTGAGTACATCTTACCCTCTCAATGTATCTTATGTATATACTGTACAAAAGCTACTCAGAAACCACAATGCTGTGAAGGAAGTTACTGCCAAAATGGTAACCTATATTTGCATAGGGGCCCCTCCTAACTTCGGACTCGTGTCATGTTTTAGAGATTTGCGACAAATAAGGAATCACAATATGTGAAAATGTAAGGCTACAGTATGAACAAAAGTGTTACTTTTTTAAGGATAAACTACCATTTTAAAGATACGTGTAAACATGTGAATAGATGAAAAATAATGGCATAGATTTAAACAGAAGTGAACATCAATTACATTTTATATTAGGAAAACAATTTAAGTTCACAATTCAAACTCAACTGCTTATCAAGTGAAATACTTGCACAGATAAGCCTTTAAGCCATTTTCCTCGATGCTTGCGCATAATTCGTACGTCCATGTTAACCATTCGAGACAATGGATCCATTTCCTCCCCCAGTTGATGGACGCAGTGAACCAAGGAAAAATATATGAATTTCCGTCACAACTGCCTGAGTCGTGTATGGGTTTTAGCTGGTTGGTCTGATCTGTCTGCGCATGCCTGTGAATGCTGAAATGTTGTCGAGTAGAAGTGTGGAACTGTGCCATGCATGTCTCTGATCGGGCTCCCAGCGACTATGTCAGCCATTACAAGACGAAACAGTTGCCTGAAGATGGCCTTGTAAAGCCGAAACACGCTGCAATTAAATGTGGTCTTAATGACATTTTACAATAAAGGAGAGACGGACATGAGTGAAGGAGCGATTGATCCACAACGGTGCGGTATCAGCACAGGATGGATTGTGTAAACTGCGGACTGTGACGTAGTGTACAGTTCAGCGTTGGGCTTTTGTCGTGTCGGTGACGGATATGGAGCTATTGAGGAACATACAATTCCACTGAAAGTTCCTGTCGGCTGAGTGGCAATCCTGATCCATATTCAGGAGGGAAAGGTGAAGTTGTCCCTGTGTTTAATTTTATAAGTACCACGCCTTGAAGGCATATTAAGGGGTGATAGCATAGCTCCATCATTCTTGACCTCAGCACTAGATGAAGGTGAGTGGTCAGCTTTACACTGCAGCTGCTTTATCCACTGTATAGGAGATTGGATGGGCCCAGGTCCGGACTGGACGCTGTGGAGAACAGAACAATCTTGCAAATTCAGGAATCGAACTCGGGCCATCCAACCCGCAGCCCACCGCTAAACCTACTGAGTTATTCCGGCTCGTACTCAGGAGGTTCCGAGCTCGAATGATGGCCAGAGCACCGGCAATCGTAACACAGTTTTACTCGGTACCGTTAGGCAAATTCTTTGATAACTCAAATTTGACCACAATGACTTCCCTCAAAATCTTTTCTAATTCAGTCTACGCTGAACACTTTGGCATATAAATCGTGCATACATGAACGGAAACAGGCAGATCTGGTTCTCTGAAATGGTGGATAAGTATAGACATCAGTTCTGAGGTCTGCTTCAATTTGGCGCCGGCTACTTTGGTTGGCCGGAAGGAAGGTATTACTTCCATCTTCATGGTGGTTGGGGAGGAGAGAAAACAAGAGCACTTGAAATAACAAAGGGAAGACGAACTAATGTCAATCACTGAGCCATCAAAGGGCTTTATATTTAAAAGTTAAAGGGAATCGGGCAGATTTAAATCCTGGATGGATTGCCTGAAAGGGCACATTTCATTGAGCCTATTAAGGGCAGAATATAGGCTTCGTGCAAAACGCCTTGTGGTGAAACGCCACCGAACATTCATTCGTAAGAATCCGAAATCTGCGTTCAGGAACGTATCCTGTTATAAAAGACAGACGATATCCTGAATTACTCTACGGGCTTCCGTGTATTCAGGAATACTACCTTCTCGGACATGGCGCCGTGTAGTCCGTTAGGAGCTCACCGAAACGTCTCTGTACTTTCAGCGCACTACACGGAGCTATATTGTAGAAGACGATAAGATACACAGACACATACAGGCCCAGCCTGCGTATTTATTTCTCTCAACACAAAATTTGAAATGATGACACGAAAAGTAGGAAGCAAAATACGTTTTATTTCTCAAAATCAGCCGTGCAGAAGGCAGTAGGGAATGAGTCTACAGAGTCCGGAGGACACGAGGAGCTCCGGGGTTGCAGCAGAAGTCCTCTACACCGAAGGGCCAGCAGGGATGGGAGCTGGTGCAGGCGCCCCAATAACAGAAGCAGCTGCTAGCAAGTCCTCCACATTGTAGTCACTGGGATCTATCTGCCGGCCAAAGAAGCGACCCGGAGGGCGGTTGAAGCCACCGCGATAGATTCCGCGGTACAGTGGCCCCCCATTTGGTTCTGCCAATACTAAGGCGACGAAGGTGGCTACAAAGAGTACCTGCAAACCAGAGAAAAGTGACCTACACCAATTGTTCAAGTTTTACATCATTGACCGACACTTCGATTGCTCAGTATTTCTTTCCTCGGCGATTTATCAGGACTGAAATAGAAATATAGAACAATAATTAACAAAGTTTGCCAAAAGGATGAAGAATCTGTTAAGTCTATCGCTGACAGCACGAAACTACTTACAGCATAAAAATAAATTCTATGCGATTCTGCCTGGAACATTCCGAGCATAAGGTACATTATGGCCTGCATTATCCTGGGATACCGAATTCCAGAGCAAGATGCTGGACGAGTGCTTTCATGTCACAGAGGAATTATTAATGATACACATATTTTAATCATTGTAAAATATAAGGGTTAATGACTGATTGGAAATGACATGGTTGGAAGCTCTCCTCGACTCGCTTAAGGAACCAGGATCGACTCCGTATTCAGAGAATATGATATGAAGTCAGTTTGCAGGGCCACACGCGGGTTCAATCCGCAGAAGAGTATGCTGAAAGTCCTGATACAATGCGGCTCTCAATGGACAGCGAGTCCATGTTCGGATATAGGTGTGAACTAGTACGTAGCAAGCTGCATCGCGGAAACTCGGTCTGCAGAACCTCGTTTATCAGGAAAATGTATGTCACATGAGGTGAGGGTGACGGTATAGTAAGAGAGGTGTTCTCACTTACATGGAGGTTTCTATCGAACCCTAAACTCTCCCTAGGGAACGAAAATTCCCCTCACCTCTAGTTACATAAAAGACGTCGATTTTTTTTAAAACTTCGTTAAAATTTGGTACAAAATTTATTCGGTAGCTCTGTTTACCATTCACCGCGCAATACCAAGATTTATAATTAAATCCTTTTCACTGCAGTAGATGTCTCCGCTTCCTAGGCCACCCTCGGCTGCGTTCAAATTCGTGGAAAATGCAGTGCCTTCCGCACTACTGCGATCGGTCCTTCCATATCTACAGTGCTTCTAAGTGAATTCTGTGTAGTTCTCCTTCCTATGCCCCGTGTATTGCGGAAGGCCTGTTGCCTGTCGAGTGTGCAGTGTGGCTGGTACGTGTCACTGCACAGTGTTTTCACACACTACCACGAACAGCGCGCTTTGTGTACATATTCGTAACAAGTTATGCTGCAGTTACATATGTGCAAAACATATGTCGATTATTGCTGATTAATGGTCCCGATATTTATGGTTTATCGGAGCATTCAGTAGCTCTGTGTACACAGTGTCGAAGACAATATAACTAACGAATATGACGGTGAGAATTTTTGGAAAGCAACGACCTTGAGCTACTTCAAGCAATTTGATTGATCTTGCTTATGAAAATCGTACAAAACCCCCAGTGAGTTAAGTTGGTGATCTGACCGAGATTCGAACTCGACTCCTTCCAAATGCAAGTCAAGATCGTCACGTCATGGGCCCGCCTGTTCAGTTGGTCACGATATGAATAAGAGATCAACAGAAATAAATTTTCGGCTAACAAAATGGAAAACATTACTTGTTCCCGGAGAAAGGGCTCCTGTGTCATTTTCCGCCCATAAATTCCCCTGTGCTGCCGGGTGGACGTTGCGCCCACGTTACCAGTGACGTCCCGACGCTCACCTCATACTCATGGCACTTACCAAATATTTGGCCATTGCAGAGTCTGACAGTAACTCGCCTGTGCCTTGCCTTATATGAGGGAAACATCTGGCTTGATCACGTGTCCCTCAGGTCCGGGCAACTATTGTGCAGATGTCAGACCTTTGTAATGAGACCCGTGAGTCACTGAATTCACAAAGAATTATAAAGAAGTTGTTCGGTTTTCCTTGTTTTCACACCTTGAATTATTTACATGAATATTTCACCATCTGGATGAGAAATTGTGTTTTGTTCTCAAATGCACGTGTGCGCATGAGTATACTTTGGCTAATGTTTTTTCTTTCTTGGTTAATGAACAAAGTACAGAGGATGTAACAGAACAATATTGGTACAACTCATAAGAAGGATTTAAGAAGTAAATCATTGACATGGTCTCAGATGGCATCATATACCGTACGTATCACATTTCATGACGGTCGGTTGTGGAATTATAGTAATATTATGGTTATTACTTCAACAATTTGAGAGTTTGGAGTGTTCGTATTATTGATGAACGGATGTATGAATTACATGGTTTACTTGGATTCAGGTGGCATAACACACAATCCAAGCTTCATAATCATTCGTTCAGGCATTCAAAACTTGTTAAGCGGGATTCATACCGTTATGTGATTGAGTGATTTTATACGCAGTTTGGTTTGGTGATTTGATTTATTCAACACAAATATAATGTAATCACAAATAACTACAACAGTCTCACTGACTTACACACTACAAATATCACCGCAACCACAGCACACGTAAAGTGTTCTCTGTTTATTATGATCTCAAAACTCGTTGCCTGGTGACGGATCCTAACAATGTCCTCTGTTTCCATACTCTCATTCTTGTCGGCTGGCGAATCTCAAAGTCAAAGCAAGGGGTCGAAGTTATGTTTCGACCGACGGTCAGTTGGCCAGTCTGCCTTGGTGTCAAGCAACCATCTGGGGCACAAGACCACTTTTTAGTACTAGCAGACATTTGCGGGTTTGTTGATGTGGGGCGCTTCTCTGACGAGAGGATTGGTCTGCCTTTTGTACATGCCGCTGGCCCTCAGCGGGACTCGCGACCATATTTTACTGTCTCAGATTTGCGGCATCCCTTTTCGTCGCCTCCAACGACTCGTATGGTCACAGTGGAGTTATCACCTCCTACCTCCACACGGGTGAGTCGACTCTCAGTTAACTGTCCTGCTTGTAACATCTGGGCAGGGACAGCACAGAAAACAGCGTTTCCTGTTTCTCTTTCCAATTATTGCGCCAAAACATGCCTGATTGCGAAGCCGTTACTCGGTAACGGCTTTTGTATAGCTTCTTTTGCAGTCATTGCCTAGCAACGGGTCTATATGCCACATTATACAGACACATAGCCATGTGCAGATATGCAGACAGCATGGTGATCCCATAAATCTTATTCTTTCCAAAATGAGGATGGTAAATTACGAGTATTAAGCTAAGAAACATGTATCACCATATCTTGTCACCAGAATGCAGGACAAATTGGTGACAAGGATGAGAAGGACTCAGCTGAAAGCACAGGAAGTATCATGTGCTTGGGAATGAGATACATAAATTAAAATTGAATTTACGAAAGACTTAAGTGCAGAAAATTTACCAACAACCTTCAACCTCAGAACAGCTAGGATCAGGCATTACATTGCTCTGCTGTATGCACAATTCAGTCTGCTGACACCTTTGCCTTCCCGCTAATTATTCGCTGGCTCATGAAGCCATGTGGAGCTTGGTTGAACTTGTTGTGTCCTCTGTTCTGTTGCAAGAATATGCTATACGATGTGTGTTGGCACAGGTGTCCTGTGTGCGTCACTCGGGGCCCTGATATTCGCCACTGAACTGCACAACACAACTGTTCAAAGGAATAACCAACTTCACGGGGCTGAGCCTTTCTTGAGCAGACGCCAGTTGTGCACCTATTCAAGAACTTCCCAGCATTTTACGGAACCCAAATTCATTACCGTGTTCACAAGAGCCCTCCACTGGTCCCTATCCTGAGCCAGATTGATTCAGTCCATACCACCCCATTCTATCCTTCCAACATCCATTTTAATATTGTTTATCCACCTACGTCTTGGTTTTCCTAGTGGTCTTTCTTCTTATGGCTTTCCCACCAATATTCTATATGCATTCCTCTTCTCCCCTTTCGAGCTACATTCCCTGTCAATCTTATCCTCCTTGACTTGATCATTCTAATTATACTTGGAGAAGAGTACAAGTTATGAAGCTCCTCATTATACAGTTTTCTCCAACCTCCTGTCACTTCGTCTCTCTTCGGTCCAAATATTCTCCTCAGCACCCTGTTCTCAAACACCCTCAGTCCATGTTCCTGCCTTAATGTCAGTGAGTTCAAAGGAATATGTGTTGTATTTTTTTTCGTCAGTCAATTGTCTCTTAATTGTAGCATCCGTTCGATATTCTATGCACAGTGAAAGCGCATAATTATGGGATAATGTACTTCTGTCTGTCTATAATTTCTCAAGATTCATATCCGAAACATGTTCAGGATAATTTAATTATATTTTATGATGCTTGACTATAGATCATAGTATCCTGGGAAATTGTATGCAATGTCCCTCTCAAACTATAATGACCCATTTTTAAATGGCTGTTTACTCCTTTACGGTATATACATGATATAACGGAAAACCAGCAGATCTACTCGGCATTAAAATGGCTTAAAGCACTCCTACAAGAAACAAAACATTATAGTGGATCTAGCAATGAGAAGGTTGTGTTTGCACCCGCAGCCAGGCAACGACGCCACTGTTATCATGAACCCAGCACCTTTTCTTCTTGCAGAGGACATAATGGGGAAATAAGGTGGATTGGCTACGCATTATATGTCTAAAACTCTCCAAGGAGATGCCCCACCAGCATACAAAATTTGGTCGGGAAAAGTGCAAAGATGTAGAAGTGTGTAAAATACAAACACATTCTAGCATTTTGTATACTGTGAAGGGTTGCTCAAAGCATCAACGCATTGAACCAGAAAACGCTCAACAACAGAACGTCCGTACTTCTTTTGGACTTCATCCATCGTCTAGCATGTAAAAGACACAAGACCTCGACGTTTCGGAGACTGGATCTGTCTCCGTCTTCAGGTGGGTAGGGAAGGATAAACCTACTCAGTTGGACCCATTAGAAAGAGCTGTTCTCAATCCGAAACGTCGTGGTCTTTTGTCTTTTAAATACTACACGATGGATGAAGTCCAAAATAAGCCAAAAGAAGTACAGTATACACCATCGTCAGAATCTTTCAAGACTAACAGAACTTCCGTTACTTAGTAGCAAGGTCTCAATAATCACGACAACAGAGGAACTACTGAAGACGTTTCCTAGGCAACGCACACAGAAACAGGTTTCCATTAGAACGACTACGTAAACATTATTCTCACAGCAATGGAAACTGCGTTTTCATGAGAACAGAAAAATCAACTGTTCGACTGGATGTCCTTTATTCAGTAAACCAAGAGCTACCTCAAGAGGATTACTAAGATTACTGAAGATCCAGGAGACAACACGACAGAAGATATAAGACGAACAGAAGTCAGAAGTGAAGTCTTTATTTTATGTGGTGCAGTTACAGTAAACTTCAGAATGTCATCATTGTTCGTAGTTACGAAGTGTTATAGTTAAACAAAAACAGACTCCGTGGCCTGTAGTCCGCAAGCGAACTATACCGACCGAGCGACCACCGCTTTTCGGCGAAGTTAGTGCCAACTTTAGCGGACAGAGGGTGTCGCATGGTCAGCGCAACGGATACCCACGGCCGTTAATTTCGGTTTTCTATACCGGAGCCGCTATTTACTTGAAATAGATCCTCAAATATCCTCACGAATCTGAGTGGATCCCGTTCCAGAGCCACTACTTCTCATAAAATCTAGTAGCGACGGAAATCGAACCCGGGATCTCTGGATCTGTAGCCAGGAACTCTGACCACTAGACCACAGAGAAGATTGTGTTACAACTAATTGTAGTTCGGTCTGGTGAATATGCAATAAGTCGATTCATCTAACTCGGAACGCATTAATTGCTTGTCGCGTTACCAGAATACGTAACAATACGTATGTATAAGAGAGGAAGAAATGTGTAAGGGGATGTTAGGGGTCTGGATGGAACATTACTGATATTTCTTAGGCCAGACCTTGGATTCAGGATATTGGACCATCAAAAGAACACGGATAGTTTGGAAGTTTATAATGTATATGAGGAGATGCATAATTGCCAGGAAAACAGACGGAATCTAGGAAATATTTGACCAGAACTGACGCCATATTATAAAGCCTATGGCAGAAGACATGGAAGTCTTCTCAGAAAGAGGAGACAACAGCACATGGATGAGAGTATATAGAACAGGATACGTAAGGCTCAAAATCCAAAATTGCTAAGCTGACATGTATATTTATGTCTTCGACATCTGGGCCTGCGAATGTGTATGGAAAGTATTGTCACGTATTAATGATTGTCGTGACTAATAACAATGGGTTCTGGATTTACAGTAAATTTTAACAGCTCACATATTCAACTCCTTCTGAACGACGTCTGTCTGACTAATCTCTATGAAGAATGCACGAATGAACTCTCTTTTATAACTGCCACGCGGCCCGAATAGAAGTCACCAGGTCCAACAGTCAATTGACCTCTGTTATTATGTATTATCAGTTGCTACGAAATATCTCATGTTTAGCAACTTGCTACCCGGCAGCGAGTCGTTCGTTGCTATTCGTTGTAGCGGGAATGTGATTTCCGAGCCGTTGCCCGACAATGGACATCTGCTCCGGTTCCACCATTCCGGTTTTCAGCCGTTATGGCACAGCATATAAACTGAAAGGTACGTGACGTCTGCCACAAGAGAATTTGTCGATGTGTTTGGAAATTTCTCTATATGCACAACAGATATTTGCTCCACCCCCAGGCCTTAGTCACCACTCTCCCTAAGCATCCAACAACCCTGGGCATGCGAGAACCCCAAACTCGCGGTCGAGATGTTAACGCTAGACATTTCTGGACACACGTTGATACTGTCACGTAGTGTGTGTGACTGTAGACGGGGTTTGGATTGGTCACTAGATTTATTGACAAATTTACAACACGACTCGGAAATACGAGTAATTACAGAGCCATCTCTAATCTCCACACTTTACAAAGCCCTGCTGCACGTACTAAGTCCTCTCATTGGTCGCAACATAGCTCAAGCGGTTAGTCGCTGGCTTCACACCGCGGCGACCCGAGTTCGATCCCGAGGTCTGGTCAAGTGGGATTTGTGGTGAACAAAGTGGCGCTGGGGCAGTTTTTCTCCAGTACTTCGGTTTCCCCTGCCAATCTTCATTCCACCAATTGCTGCACAATCACCCTCACCTATCATCTGGGGCTGGTAAAATAGGTCAGAAGTGGCCGCAGTACAAGGGAGTTAGTCCCACCCCACTAGCAATAAAAAAGTCTTCTCAGTCTGCAGTGTCTTCACCAGTCGCTTTCTGGTAACGGCTTTACCAGTTGAGTTTCTTCCGCTTCCGCGCTCATGCCTTTCCTGGCTGGCTAACGTCTCACAACTGGAATCTCAACGAACCATGTATCTTCCATTTCTGAATTCAAACTGCTGCATTGTTAAGAATTTGCTGCTTAGCAATGGGAACGTGTTTACCCAGCTGTTGCCCAGAAACCGGTCTGTATACCCGCCCATCTCGCGATCGTTGCATAGCAACGGTACTACACGCTACAATTAGAATATTTCTCGTCTCGGTTTGGTATGTGGAACTCGTGCCGAAAGTTTGTTCGCACCTTTCAGCTGCATCTTGTATAAGCCCGGAAAGCGACTGTCCTGAGGAGAGTTATGCTTTCCCCCACTCTCTAGGCAAACAGAGGGATAGTGTCTGCGCACAGTTTGCAATTTATTAGTTACTGTCATCCTGCCCTTTGCCAGCGTCGGTGTACACCTATTTATCATTAGCAAATTCCCCCTTCTCCTATTCCTGACCACTTCAGCGCAAATACTGGAATAGGATAAATGAAATCAGTTCATAATCACTTCCTTCCACAACCCTCCCGCTTCACTGTTCACTACTTTTTTTTTCCTGTGGCGCTACAGCCCCAATTTGGGCCTAGGCCTACCTCCATGAAACTCTCCGTTTCACTTCGGTTTACTAGATCTTACACATACGGTAGGACTCCTTGGGCGAGTGATCAGCTCGTCGCAAGGCCTCTACCTGTAGACAAACACAGAAAAACGCACACAAACATCCATGCCTTGAGTGGGATTCGAACCCACGATCCCGGCTTCCGAGCGAGCGAAGACAGTGCATGCCTTAGACCGCTCGGCTACCGTGACCGGCGTTCACTACTTAATCTGAGTTACTGACACGTTAGCTAAATTAATCACATATAAATAAAGAAAAAATATGAATATAGCAATTCGCTAAGAATATCCTTAATAACCAAAATGATTTTGGGTTCAGCTTCCGATGCTGATACAGCCATGTCCTCTTGGATGTCCCTGTTTTACCTAGGTTCCTATTGGCCCTTGAAGCATGAAGCTCATCTAGAACATATGAGACAGTTCAGACCCCGTCGCCGCAATATACACATACAAATAACAGTCGATCAGTGACGCGCAGGAAAGTACTTACGGTTATTTCTGAGAAACATGAGAAATCATAATACACTTCGTGTTACCATTAAGATTTTATTAATGTCACAGCGTTACTGTAACCGTTCCATTTTGAAGCATAATACTGTATGCTGCTTGGTTTAATAAGTGACAAAGAATGGCCACAAATAAGACAGGAGATGTTGCTTAGCAATTTATTGTCTGTTTGATTACATGAGTTGTCCAAGGGTCAGTCCTGAACCCAGAGCTAGTGGAGTCGTGTAGGGCGGCTGACGGGACAATCGCAGTAGGTGCGGCGCAACGGCTTACTCCTCTTCTGCTTCTCGGCGAGTCAGCCAAAATGTAAGACTGCTAATGTCGAAAGGCAGGATGCCATAACCTCCCAATTGGCCACTGACCACACACACGCTGAGCGCCAAGAATGCGATCGCCTGCAACGTAAAACTTTGTTAACTTCTCCGCAGACAGCAGGACCAGGGAAAGTGCGAGAAGACTTGTTGTGAAGTCGATGTATCAACTGGACAGATATTTCATATCTAATAGGCAAGTGTAAGAACGATTATTTTGTCAGCTATTTACACTACTTTTTTTTCGCTTAGTGGGGGGGGGAGTTCAACTGGGTCCAGTCGGCACGGCGGCCGCTGATTGGCCTATTGTAGCCTGCCCCGGGTGATTATGATGATGGAGAATTTGGTGAAATAAAGATTGGCAAGGGAAATCGAAGTACTCAGAGGAAACCCGCACCAGCGCCACTTTGTCCACCATAATTCCCACTTGACCAGACCCGGAATCGAACCCGGGCCACTGCGGTGGTTTACACTACTTCGTTGGTAGCTGAGTTAATTTATTTGGAAAAGCCGTACCATAGCTCAGGCGGTTATTCGCCGGCTTCCCACCGCGGCGGCCCGGACTCTATCCTAGGTCAACTCATGTTGTATTTGTGGACACAATGGCACCGATGCAGATTTTCTCCGAGTACTTCCGTTTCCCCTGCCAATTCTCTTTCCAAAAAATTCTACATGTTCATCCATCATTCGAGGCTGGTACAGTAGACCAATTGGTGGTCAACTTACCAAGCGGACTCAGTTTCACCCGAAACCGCGAAACTAAAAAAATATTGGTTTTGACAAATAGTCGATTGGTTGGTTAGTTTGTTAGAAAGCCGATTAGTCTTATACTTACTTGGACGATTTGTCGTTTCGAAAGTTAATCATTGTACTCGACAGTAAACTGCTCGTGCCAGTGGAATAACATTCAGCTGGCTTGAACACAGATCCTGCGGTGTTAATATACAGATGGATAACAAGGAAACTTGCCGGTCACGGTAGCCGAGCGGTCTAAGACATGCAGCGTCTTCGCTCGCTCGGAAGCCGGGACCGTGGGTTCGAATCCTACTCAGGGCATGGATGTTTGTGTGCGTTTTTCTGTGTTTGTGTACAGGTAGAGGCCTCGCGACGAGCTGATCACCCGCCCAAGGAGTCCTACCGAATGTGTAAGATCTAGAAAAACCAGGTAGACCTAGGCGCATTGGGGCTGTAGTGCCAAGAAGGAGGAAGAAGGAAATTTGGATGAAGGTTGAAAATTTCCAATATGAACCACACATAACTCCAGAACTTGGATCAAATTTGCAAATTTTCCATCTACGTACATATAGAATGGCTGGACAAGATAACTGAATTAGCAGACTGATTACAGAAATCCTTCTGAGTACTGTTTAGATGGCCAAACTCGCCCGGAATATATAGGACGATTACTTTCAACATGTTTCGTCAAAGTGCTGCAACAGCTTGCAAGAACTCCCCGTACGTACTTGCAGTGTAGATGGGCGTAGAGTACTTACAGTTCTGACTATTGTGGATGGCACAAAGAATTACTGAGGTTTTGGACTTTATCCATCGTCCGGAATTCTAGGTAATGGAAGGCACTCTAGTTAAAAGAGGACACGAAACGTCGTGTCCTCCATTACCTAGAATTCCGGACGATGGATAAAGTCCAAAACCCCAGTAATTCTGTGCAGGATATATAGTGGTTTGCAGGAACCTTGCAAATGTCTTCTTGCTTACCATGTACCTCGTCGCGTTGTCGTAGAACTACAGGAAGTTTGCAAATATCCTCCTGCTTACCGTATACTTCATGTTGCTGCATAACTACAGGAAGTTTGCAAATACCTTCATGTTTAACGTCTAATTCATGTTGCTGTAGAACGACAGGAAGGTTGCAAATATCCTCCTGCTTACCATGTGCTTCACGTTTCTGTAGAACTACAGGAAGGTTGCAAATATCCTCCTGTTTACCACGTGCTTCATGTTGCTGTAGAACTACAGGAAGGTTGCAAACATCCTCCTGCTTACCGTGTACTTCATGTTGCTGTAGAACTACAGGAAGTTTGCAATATCTTCCTGCTTAACGTGCACTTCATGTTGCTGCATAACTACAGGAAATTTGCAAAGTCCTCCTGCTTATCGTGTACTTGGTCATGTTGTTGTAGAACTACAGTAAATTTGCAAGTGTCCTACTTACTAGGTAGATGTACATGCTGCTCCTTCTGTTTTGACGGCTGTACGACTCGGCGTGCGACAGCTCGCATATAATACTCGTAAATCACTCAGTTTGTTGGCACAAATGTTTTGTTTGCGTCACGACTGACGGCTTAGGAGCAATAAAGCCTTTACAGGTCGGTTGTGTCCATATAAACGCATGTCACATGAACGTAATTCAGTCGGTAAAGAACCCGTATTCTATTTCTGAAAAAGACACGTTACGACCATAAACAGAAATGGCTGCCACGGAGATACTCGATATAACTGTAGCCTTATTTCTTGAAATTAATAGTCCTGTTACCCCATCCACGTGTTTTTCTCAATTTTTTATTATTTATGATCTTTTGTTCGACGTTGTGTATTGAATTGTTATGTAAATGAAGTCCAGTAAATTGTGAAGCAAAATTTAGGCATTTCAAGCAAGAAGTAATCCCATATAATATTTAAAATTCAGTTTCCACCTCGCAGAAAACATAACTGCGTCTCAGTTAAAAAAAAAACAAGCAGTTATTGCTACCTTGGAACGCAACATGTATTTACTCTAAGGATGACAGTAAGTCTGCAAAGTAGCTGGGCGGCACACTTTGAATAATGTGCCCGGAACCAGTTGAATAGGAGGCTGGCTGAATGATCTCAACGCTGGACTAGACGCAGCGGCTGTAAGATGATTCAATTCTCCTGCCGAGAGTCAAACTGTGATTGTACGAGTAGAACCCATGCGTCAGTTATAGCAGACAAAGTTCATATATGCTGTATATTCATACTAGGTGCCTGATCTACGCACATTCTGTAGAGGTGAGGTGGTCTACCGTGATAAGGAGTCGACATATGTTTCAAGGAAGCGGGAAGGGTAGGTTTTTGCTTACAATGTTCCTCTCTACATAAGGAGTGGGATCCTTATGTAGAATTTCACTAGAATTGAACACTACTGTGCATTTTCCTCTATGAGCTTGTAGAAGTCTTATTTCCTTATAAGCTCTTAGAGATTTCAACGCTGTAGGTTTCTTACCAGTTATGTTAGATGTCAAAGATTTTGATTTTCCCAAAATACAGCAAATCCTCCAACTGAACTCCCTACACAAGGCCACAAAGCAGGGGGAAGTTTGTACCTTCAAGATTCAGCTGTACATTCCTTGTCCAAATTATCTTATAGAGCTTTCAGCGTAACGCCTTTGGGGCAATATCATGAGGCTTGCATTTCGTGAGAAAAGCGAGATGGTTGGAAGTCCTAGCCAGCTGAATCTTAACACCTTCAAATTTCATAATTTCGGATAAACACCTGGTCCAAGCGGCCTCCGTAGTTTAGGGGTAACGTTCCCACCTCGTGACTCAAGGTACGCGGGTTCAAAACCGGCGGAGGTCCTGGAATTTTTAAGGGCGGAAAAATTCAGGGAACAAGTCCTCCGGGAGGGACTTTAAGCCGTGGGTCCCGTGTCGTAGCTTTACGGCACGTAAAAGAACCTCATATCTCAAGGGGACCTCTGAGGCAAATTCAGGACATTTCCCGCCCAACAGTAGCCTCTAACGCCTCTGGTAGATGGGGGAAGCATCAAGATACCGCTGAGCCAGTAGAGGCCGAACTCGCTAGCTGAGTCGGGACCGATGGCACGCACCAGTACCGGTAGGGTATAGAGACTGGTAGAATATCATAGGGGGACGCACAATGGACCAATATCTGGTCTAAGTGCATGGGGAAACCCACCCTCTCCAATAACAACAACAACACCAGGTCCATCTGGTTATGTAAATAAGTTTGTAATGAGGGTATATTAATAAAATCAATGTGTTTCTGGACATTATCCATCATCATGTGTTTATTTAAAACACAACATTATTGAAACTGGATTCTGTCTCACGCACCGGTATTTGAGCCTGCGAGTAGCTTCAAATTCTGTTACTGTAAAGGAAATATTGTGGCCCAGGATATTGATTCCGTGTTCACATCCTTACTGGCCGGGGACTGTCCCTCAACTAATTAAAATCCAGAACTCTCCTGCTTATAACACATCGGCACGGATCACACAGAGAACACCTCTCCCAACAGCTATTCTATCGTTGCCTCAAGCAGGTGTCACACGGACTGCATAAAGAACACCACTTCTAAGTTAGTCCGTTGGTACGTGTTATGTTACCTAACAACGGGCGTTGCTTGCAGAGTCATTTAGCAACGGGTTTACATGTTACAATACAGAGTGATTCAGAAAGATGGACACAATTTCAATTGACTATATTTCCTGAACTGTATGTTGCATTTGAATTCTGTAAAGTACATTTGAAAGAGGATGTTACAAAGTTTCTAGTACTACCGCTAGTGCCCTCCATCACTGCGTCCCGGGTCGATCGCGTGTATCGGAGGAGAACGTGGAGTGCATTCGAGTGAACTTTGAGCGCAGCCCAATGAAGTCAACCCGTAGTGCTAGTAGAGAACTTGGACTATCGCAAACAACTGTGTGGCGTGTACCACCTCTTCCCACAAATTTGAATGACCTAGGAAACTGTATCACAGCTGCGGTGAACTCAGTGACGCAAGATATTTGTCATCGAGTGTAGGATGAATTCAGCTACCGTCCAGATGTTATCCGTGCAGCCGGAGGAAGGGGGGCACATTGAACATCTATAAACTTCCATGTATATATAATCAAGTGCAATTTACAGAATTCAAATGCAACATATAATTCAGGAAATATAGCCAACTGAAATTGTGTCCATCTTTCTGAATCACCCTGTATTATTTAGGCGTATTTCACTCAACAATTCGAAAGCAGTAAAGAGTCTGATCAACTCCTTTCATCTGCCGAATAACCACACATTAATTCACTTCCAAACACTTTAAAACACGGACGAATGAGCACTGCATGGGAACCAACAGAGAAATATATTTTCTGTTTCCCCCAGAAACTGCAGAGTCAGCAAATTCCCTCAGTTTTCTCTCTCGTTTTCGCCACACTAAAACAGAATTACTTATCTAGAATATGCGTCTGTCTTTTAAAAAACTGCTCTGTGTAGTGAATGTCTAGCAGAATACGTCTCACCCACAGAACGCGATGTTAACAAGCACAGTGTTGCAGCAGTATACATACTTCTACCTGGAACTGCGAGGTATTAGAGTGGAAATAATCTTGGAGGATAGTAGCACATCAGCAATGGGATCGCCTGAAGTACTATCTACCCGCATTACACTGGAGATGGAGAAAATGCCGTACCTGCACGGCGATTCTTTCCAAGGGAAGAAAGACATTTAGGATGTGATTGCGTATGTAGTTTAAATGACTCATACGTACACACAGGCAACTGCATAAAGCACATGAGTAAAGGCTTTCTTAGCAGACTGGCAGTCCCACGAAATTTGCGCCATTTTTGGTACTAAAAAGTTTCGCAAAAAATTTGCCACAGGGCTCCATTCCGAACCATATAAATTCTGCATTCCCTAAGACGCTCTAGTTCACTCAAGTTGTCACTTTCCTTTGTTTGGTTCAAGTTTTGCATACCAGTACGATTTCACGCAGCAGTGCTGCTTGGAAAGCTAACAGCAGAGCAGGTAGCCAAAAAGCGCTCCGATCTTTACGGACCCCGAGGGTTCATTGATGTGTTCACAGTTCTTTACAGTAAGCNCTTATAGTTTTTCTTCTACCCTGAAGATGGAGGCGATACGTTCCTCCGAAACGTCGGTTAACACCACATATACACGGTGCCAAATCCCAGAAGACTGCTTTCTTCATAGTCACCGCCGTGAAAGCCTCAAACCTTACAACAATCAAGTAACTTTCGTTACTATATAACGGCGCTATAAAAAAAGCCTTCCCAAAAATAGAGAGCCTGTGTGCTTATAAAGAAAATGTAGTTGGGAAGAACTGAGTCGAGTTTCGATGCTGGCAGTTGCAGCATAAAATTATGTGAAGTTCTGGAGATGGAAGTTCAAGGTGATTGAGAAGGAATGGCAAGAAAGGAATTAGACTGTGCACAGAAAACTTCATATGTGCTGCAGTTACAGTGAGACTGGTATAACTACAGCGTGGAAATCCGTTGCCAGGATACGACTAGTGAAGACTGAGAACCCTAGTGCGTGTGTAACGGTGAACTGTAAAGTGTGGAAATAGCGGTAATGCTAAGATTGCCTGCAGAACTGAGTTGAATAAATTCAATCCAAACCCGCTTATAAGACACGCGAAACTCCCTACACGTGACATAATATTACGACTGACGACCAGTCGGCCAGTGTGGCTAGATGTCAAGCCCCATATTGGTCCCAAGACGAGATTTTTGTTATTGTCCGACAGTTACGGGTTTGTTGATGTGGAGCGCCCGCTCTAACGAGAGGATGGGTCTGTCGTTTATAATTCCTGCTGGCCCTTGCCAGCGCAGTCTTTCTCACGTCCGAGTCCTGCGGGATTCATACCCATATTTTATTGTCTCAGGTTCGAGACTCCCTTAACCTGGAGGGCCAGGTTCCCGTATTTATCTCCCAGGAAAAGGTTGGCCCAGTTATGCCCCCAGGCACTAGGCTCCCCTTCGAATACGCCTCCATACGAGAAGCGAGCCTCAGTGAAAATGGCGGCTTTTATGTATTGTACAGTTGTTTCCGTGTTGGACAGATGGCGTTAATCGCAGGACTATATAAGCCTTTCGAACGTAAAGCAGGGGAAGACGAGGAAGAGGGGAAATGACAATACGGAAAAATAAAGGGGATTGGGGAAAGAAGAGTGAGAAATGAAAGTAGGAAACGGATAAGGGAGAAAGTAAAATCTTCATATAGAGGAGGGAAGGAAAAGTGAAATGGATGGGAAAAAGAGTATGGGAGAAATGAGAGAAACAGATACCGAAAAGGGAAACAGTTGTGTGGGGAATGTGGGTATATATGGAATGAATTTTCTTGAGAGACCAATCAGCTCACGCGCTGAACTTTACGTCAAGATGACGGGACGTCCTGAGCTTCTTGCCATGCACGTGCGCAGGCATTTAATACCTAATTGTATATTTAAAGTATGTTTAAAACGTGAACAATCAGTGAAGGGGCTTTCAGGCGAATTTTCGACGAGGATTACAAATAGTTCTGAACGAAATACATATAGGATCGCCACTCTGAAATTTATTGTAACCCATGGTCGTCATCATCCTGATATAATTCGAACTTTACTGCAGAAGTTGGCAAACTTGCTACACGCAAACATGCAGCATGAGTTACATCGCCGGGAGGAACTGTGGGT